CGTGTGGGCGGGGAGGGTGTGGAGGCGTTCGAGGGTGCGTGAGGGATAAGAAGGGAGGGAGGGAGACAATGGATAATAAAGGGGAAGGGAGAGATTGGGGAGGGGGAGGGAGGGAAGGAGGGAAGTGGGGCTCGTATTTAGCATGCGTTGGGATGATGTTGATTATTCACTGTACAGTTAGATTATATTTGATTGGGACGCCGATGTGCAGGTGCGGTATTCCGTTGTGCATGGCTGTCTTTTTTGGCGTTCTTGCTCAGTTCATCTATATATTAAAATAAAATAATATCGTATAGTAAAACTGGATTCACCTTGGTATGATTTATTATGCCTGAGTCTGTAACTGTGATGTCAGTCGAATCGTCACCTTCTCTAGGCTTCTTTATTGCCGTTTTTCGTTCTTCTCTTAAGCCCTTCCTCTGAACCAATGCAATCCTCATCTCCCTGATCTTCCTCCTCGTCTGAAGTGTTTCCATTCATCCAACTTTCCCTCTTTCAATCTTCTCCATCCATCCAATTCCCCGCCTTGTCAACGTCCTTCCACCTAATTTTCCTCCTCCTATCCATCCAACTTTTTTGTTTTATTCTCCGTCCATCCAATTTTCCTCCTTTTTAGCTTCTAGCTTTCCTGTTCCTCAACCTCTCCACCCTCCCAAGCAGCCACCTTGAGAGAGCCGTCATCACTCGGCCGCAGCTCCTCTTCGATGGCCGGCTCCTCGCAAGCAAGCAAGCAAGCAAGCATCCTGCAAGAAACAAGCCACGCTTCCGGAAGGCTGCAGCGGCCGAAGGAATAACTTTCTCGCGCTGCGGTCGGTCTCTCGGTCGGCCCACGCGCCCCTGGCTTGGGCTTGGGCTTCGTTGGCCTTCGTCTGCGCCCTTGCGGCTGAGGGGAGGAAAGTGGGAGTGCGGGGCGCGGGTCGGGATCAGTTCTTCAGTCTTTTTGCCTCCCGCTTATTTTGATTTGATTTACCATCGCTAGAGTGAAATGTTATTTTGTCTTTCCTTTTTATCGTATAAGACTTGACCGCTTTATCTATTATTTTGTTTTCCCTTTCTCCTTTTATTTGCCTTCTATCCTTGGCACTCTCGGTTGAACGAAAGGGTTACGACCTGCAGTGACCAGAGGCCATGATCTTTGAGTTAAGAAACGACCGATTCCTCAGCTGCCTGGGCTGAGTAGTGATGTTTAACATGAGGCCGAAGCATCAAATAGGCCTATATGTCGTAGCTTCTATTGTGCTCTTGCCCGCAGGCGTTTGAGATAAGGCACGAAGACCACGAGAACTAGTAAGTACTGGATAAGAAGTAACAGCTGCTTGAATAGTGATGAACCGACAGAAACAACAACCACGAACAATAGCGCTGCTAAAGAAAGTCGGGTAAGCGAAAGGAGCTGTTTGCATTACGGTTGCTACAAAAACATGAAAAAAAAAATCCAGTTAGCAGAATTTCGCTCAAGGAAGACATCCGCTAAATAAGCATAAACAAGCCGATCGAGACCTCAGCTGCTACCAACATCCACGGCTGCACAAGCACAAACAGCCGGCCAGAACACAAACAACAGCAAGAGAGGGGCGCTGAGTAAACCAAAGGGAGCGCCAACTCCGCTAACAACGCTTCGCTCGCCCGCTCGCCTTCGCCTAGAAAGTCCGGCGCTTTGCCTCTCCTCCCGTCTCTCTTCCCACCTCTCCTCCCGCCGCAGCGAGTTTCTCTGGCATCTTGAGGAATTGCCTCCGTGTCTGGCGGGGCTTCCTCTGTGGCCGAGGCGCGAGGACTTTCTCCGGCTTAAGGATGGGATGGTTTTTGCATCTGCTGTTGTTGTTGCCTTTTGCTGCGGGTGGTTTCGGTTGTTGTCAGGGTGGTGGTATGGAGAGAGGGAAGGTTTTTATCTTCACTTATCGGATGTCAAACGTTATCTATCTATCATGGTCCCCCCCTTACCTCACTCGTCCTTCTTCCCTCCCTCTTTTCCAACCTCTTCCTCTCCATCCCTTCTTATCGTGCTACCTTCCCAATTAATCTTTATCGCTACCACCTCATCTTGTATCTCCACCCGCCTCGTCTCCCCCTTGCCCGCGCGCCTGTATGCCTGGCTGCGCAAACGCCCGAGCCTCCTCTTCCGGGTCGTTCGTACGCGTTAATCTCTCGTACGTGACTCGCCTGGCGTGTGGGCAGCCTGGGGTCGGGTGCCACGGGAATGCCTGAGCAGGTCTCTCTTTTTCGTCAGAGGGAAATGTTGCTGGGTGTGCTTCTGTGTCTTGTTTGGGTGCCTTTGGCTTTTTTTCTGTCTGGGTGTCTCGCTTTCTTTTGCCTCTCTCTCTCTCTCTCTCTCTCTCTCTCTCTCTCTCTCTCTCTCTCTCTCTCTCTCTCTCTCTCTCTCTCTCTCTCTCTCTCTCTCTCTCTCTCGGGGCGGGGAAGTCTACGGCGTTGCACGCCCGTGTTAACATCCCGAGCTCGCCTGCTACGAAGAGGGAAGGCAGAAGTGGCAGGCGATTCGTAGTCGGGTCATTGCGAGATTCCATAACCAAATCAGGTTATAGGATGTTGGTATTCGTGTGGGTACTGTTGGTAGTCTCTACTCTTATCTTTTCGTATTCTCTTCGTTTTACTCTTGTGTTTTCTCTTTCCATTCGCTTTTCTTTTGTTTTCTTTTACTTTTTTCTTTGTCTTTTCTTCTCAGTTTCTTCTCTCAACCTCTTCTCTCTCCTCTTTTTTCCCTCGCACTCTCTCGTCCTTGTCTTCTCCGTTTTCTCTCCTTCTTCCCTCCTCTCCTCTGATGTACACACGTTTACGAAAGTGTCGTTATACTTTCTATTGCCATTCATTCATTAAAGCCAGATTAACTGAACGCAAAGCAAATCATTTGAAGCTCTGCCCATTGTCAGGAAGGGAAAGCGGTAAAAAAGGCAGTTGAAGTTACATTTTTTTCTCTTTTTGCAATCGAGTTAAATGTGTGACGTTACAGGGAGAGGGGGAGAAAGTGTCATGGACGGGTTGGTGTAGTGTGACTCTCAGGCTCGCTCTTTCTCTTTCGCTCTTTGTCTGTATCTCTTTTCTTTCGGTCTCGCTTCTCTCTCTCTCTCTCTCTCTCTCTCTCTCTCTCTCTCTCTCTCTCTCTCTCTCTCTCTCTCTCTCTGTCTCTCTCTCTCACTCCGTTCATTTCACATCATTGTTTTCTTTCCCATGTCCTGTATTTTCCCAATCTGTCTCTCTTTTCCTTCTATTTTCTCCCCACCTCCAATCATCCCTGTTCATTTTCATTTCCTCCTCCCACACATCAGCCCACCCTCTCCCCATCCCGCGCTCTTCCTCCAGGCGAGGAGAAACTCTCGAGGAAGCAGAAGTGACTCTACTGCGCCAGTAGCAATGATGGGGTTTGCCCGCCCGGTAAAAAAAACTTTCCCCTCCACCCAACAGATGGCGCCCCTCGACGCCACACCGGAGGGGAGAGTCCAGGAAGGGGTGGTTTTTAATAATTATCACTAACATAATGGGGTCATTTCTATGTTTTTTTCCGCGGTGTTTTAGTTTATTTTATAATAAGTTAGTATGTCCATCTCTCACCCTCACCCTCCACCTCACTTTCTCAATCATCCGGCCTCAATCTATCCCTCCCTCCACCCCCCCCCCCCCTCCTCATCCAGTAGGCCATGTTTACACGAAAGGTGAAAAAGGCCCCAGTACACAAGAGACACATGCGCGTGGGTAAACAGAGCGAAACTGTGGGAGACTCTAGGTGGGAATCTTCTCTCACCCTCTTCCCATATTTCCCTTCTCACCTCTCCACACTCCCCTTCCTTCCCCTCTCCCATTTCCACTTCCTCCTCCTCTCCCATTTCCCCTCCCCCTCACCTCTGACTTCCCTCCGTTCCTCCTCCAATTCTCTCCCCCTCCCCTTCCTTCTTTCCTCCTTCTTCTCTCTTCCTCACCTTTCCTTCCCCTTCACTCCCATCCCTGCCTCTATCTTTTCTTGCCTTCTGTCCCTTTCCCTCCCTTTCCCTCCCTTTCCCTCCCTTTCCCTCCCTTTCCCTCCCTTTCCCTCTTCTATTGACTCTAACGTAATGCTCCGTGGGAGTCTTACACCATGAGGATTTAGTTCTTACCTCGCGCGGGCGTCTGTGAGGCAAGAGATGCAACGAAGAGAGAAAAAAATAAGATGATGATTGTGCGACAGGAGGGTCGGTTGTGGGAACTTGGTGATGGTGATGTGCTGGTGATGGTGACGACAGTGGTGGCTGCAGACGATCGATTTATATTTGTGGTATTATGTTATCTCTTGCCTCTCTATCTTATTTTTTTTCTATTTCGCTTCCTCCCTTTCTACATATCTCCCTATGTCTCTGTCTCCATTCTCCATTTCTTGGGTATGTATCTCATCCTCCTCCTCTTTGTCTACCTCCTCACCTTCCTCTCTTCCTACCTCCCGAAAGGCCGAGCTCGAAAGCAAGACAAAAGAATGAATGAGAAATGCAAGTCAGAGACACTGGTGAACATACATACATGTTAGAATTGTTCACTACAAAAGAGAGCTTTATTCAGGTCCTCCTTTTCTCTTCCCGCCGCCCCCCCCCTCCTATCTCTCTCTCTCTCTCTCTCTCTCTCTCTCTCTCTCTCTCTCTCTCTCTCTCTCTCTCTCTCTCTCCTCCCTCCCTCTCTCCTCTCTCTCTCTCTCCCTCTCTCCCTCTCTCCCTCTCTCTCTCTCCCTCTCTCCCTCTCTCTCTCCCACCCTCCCTCTCTTCCTCTCGCACCCACCTTTTGTATCTTTCCAATCCATTTTTCTCTCAGTTAAAGTCAAATGGCCTCCTCAACCTTTTTATTCCCGATGAAAGGTCACGCCGTGTTATTTGACTGTTAACAGCGCGTAAACGCTAAGCTTGATCATTTTTATAATTATATCAAGTAAGGATGCCATTTTACAAGTTTTCCGAGGCTCGCTTGTTGAGAAATCTCTCCTCTGACGTTCACTTATGATACAGAACGTTCTTGAAGGAAGTAAGCAATCATAATCATTATACCTCGAACGTGAAAATGACGTTACAGATTCTTTGAGTACACGTTTTCATGTCGCCATGCGTTGTTCTGTTTTCCTTGTGATTGGCAGCACCGATTTTATTAACTTGCGATATTTTAATTATTATTCTACCGTTTATTTTACTATTTGATTACCCCCCGTCTCTATTGGTTTCTATATCTATTTATCTGTTAACACGTTCACTTATTTATTTGTAATTTTGATAGCCAGCTCCATTTCAGCCTCGCGCTCACTCTCGGCCTTGCCCCTGAATCAGGGGCCTCTGGCTTTGTCCCTGACATGGGGTTTCATGCCGGCCTTGAGTGCGTGGCTAATCACTGGGGAAACATTGTCTTGAGTGGCAATATCCGGCGCAGTTATGTCCTTTGGTTTGCAATGATGATACCAAGCGTTGTTGAATAGATAAGTTAATGTACAAAAAATGGATCAGCTGTCTGCGTTGTGCTGGTGTTTACAAAAGGCACAGGTAAACATGGCTTTACGGAAGGAGTTTATTTCTCCACGGTGAAACGTTCATCTTATGATACTACTGTTTTTTTTTTTCATTTTACTGTCAATACTAGAAGCAGTTGCCCTTTTTTCATTTTCTCCAGCAAATGCCTTCAAGCTATAAAGTGTGTGTGTGTGTGTGTGTGTGAGAGAGAGAGAGAGAGAGAGAGAGAGAGAGAGAGAGAGAGAGAGAGAGAGAGAGAGAGAGAGAGAGAGAGAGAGAGAGGGGGGGGGGAGAAAAGGGAGAGACGAGAGAGTTTAGTGAGGGCAGTGGAGACACAATCGATAATATATGGACGGTGTAAAGAACGGACAAACACCGAGTAATTAGCAGGGCTATTGACCGGGGAATCGATATCCCCCCGACCGTCTGACTGACACAGGCCGTATTCCCAGGCTTAGATTTCGATTTTTCCCGAAAGAAATCAATTTCTTTGTCTCTTGTCGTATTTTCCTGTACTCTCGTTGTTGGGTATTCTCATAAATTCCTGTTAACAGCAAGACGAGAGAAGGATACGTAGGAGGCATAAAGGCTGGCGGGTAGGTCTCCAGAGGGTCGAGATCCTCACCGCAAACCGCACTCCTCTTCTGGTTCGTCCCGCCCGCCCTACGCCGCGGTCATGGCCGGATGCCATACCATGCCGCGTTTTCTGTTGTTGTTTTTCTCTATCTCGCGTTTTCGCTTGCTTCTCCGATTTTATTTTTTTGTATAATAGTCGTGATATTCTGCGTGGTGTTGTTATCTGTGTTCTGAGGATAATGGTATTGATTTAATGCTGTTTTATTCACTTAAAGGGAAGTGGTAGAAGTGTGTATATAATACCAAATGGCATCCTGGGTCCTACCGCATTCCTCGCTGGTCGGCGTTACCTGGAGCCTGCCAGCGGGGAAGAGGAGAGAGAAAGAGAAATATTTTGCATGACCACTTTCATCTCGGTATATGTAGACCATCATTATCCAGGAAAATGTTGATTTTCTGTTCCAGCGGTCTCGCTTTTTACGGCCGAAGAAAGGGGGGGGGGAAGAGAGGGAGGACTTTTATTTTGGCCTTCGACGAGACGCCACGGGAGGGAAGAGCGCGCGTAGTTTCGCCTCAGCCGGTCATCGGTGGGTTTAATGACGCCTGGAAGGAGGGCTTATTATAAGCTGGAAAAACACGTCTCTGGTATTACAGGCATTGTAATTGCGTTTACTGGTTTTCTAAAGAAAAAAATCCGTTTTCTCTCTCTCTCTCTCTCTCTCTCTGTCTCTTTCTCTCTCTCTCTCTCTCTCTCTCTCTCTCTCTCTCTCTCTCTCTCTCTCTCTCTCTCTCTCTCTCTCTCTCTCTCTCTCTCTCTCTCTCTCCTCCCTCCCTCCCTCTCCTCCCTCCCTCTTTCCCTCTTTCCCTCTCTCTCTCTCCCCCTCCCTCCCTCCCTCCCCGCCGCTTCCCTCTGCCTCTCCGTCCTTCTCATGGCGTCTGTAGAGTTTAAAGGGAAGGCGTTCTTCGTAATTGCTATAGTGTAATTATTCTGCGTTAATGGTTAGAAATCTCGGTCGTGGTTGGGTAAACACAGGTTGTCTGCAGGAGGGCATTCGGTGCCTCGGGCGTCCACAAGTTTTTTTGACGTCACGACATTTGTAAAGTTCTCGTTTTTCGTTATTCATGTCAGCTTTTATTTTCTTTGGCTCTTTTGAACTATCCATGCAATTGCTGATTGTTGTGTATATTTGTATATTATAAATATATTGATATTTGGGCCTAACAGAAACTTCACCTGAAAGGACACGATTACCTGTTATCCTCTTACGAGTCAGGTGAAGTCAGGTCAAAGTCACGTTAGGTCAGGCTCACTCAGATTAGCATGGTGTCCGTCCTTATCCTATTCTTAAATATCATTACTTAAAGATGTAGCATAAGATTAGTAATGATTGGCCGAAATTACTGATTACAGGATATATATTGAACATTACAGTGTTTTAACAAAGAAATACGTTGATGG